CTGGAAAGCTGCCTGGCGGAAAAAGACCTGGGGGTACTGGTTGACAGCCGGCTGAATATGAGCCAGGAGTGTGCCCAGGTGGCCAAGAAGGCCAGTGGCATCCTGGCTTGTATTGGGAATAGTGTGCCCCTGTACTCAGCACTGGTGAGGCCGCACCTTGAATCCTGTGTTCAGTTTTGGGCCCCTCACTACAAGAAAGTCATTGCCTTGCTGGAACATGTCCAGAGGAGAGCCACAAAGCTGGTGAGAGGTCTGGAGCACGAGTCTTTATAACCAATGACTTTGGAGTTCTTACACTGAACAAAGAACCCAGACTGTATTTGACCATGGCTATGTGAAAAAGTGAAAGTGCTTAACTGATCAGATGTCTTACAGAATGTGGTTAAAATATTTTTTCACTGGGACTGTCTTTTACAAGTAGATTTTCAGAAGAAAATCTGTAACATATTTAGTGTTATAGAAAGAAACACCAACATCTGGGGAGAAGAAATAAAAAGAATGAAGGCTTTGTTGTTTTGAGAAAGAAAGATGTTCCTAAGACATTGTCCGGTACACATCTTTGGGGCAAGTCACAGGCATGTCAGAGGTAATTGAATGCTTCTAGTTTCTGGCTGCTTCTCTGGATGTTTAAGGTCTTTTTTGTAATGTTCACAGGAACATTACAGGTTATGTAAAAATGATTATGTAATGATTAATTCCATTGTATGCCTTAATGCTTTCCACTTCAAGTGCCATCTCTTTGTAATTAGAATGGCAGTAAGTAACAGTGTCAATACCAGATTTGGTCATTCCCCTAAAAAAAAGATAAACACATTTTTTAATGGAAAAATTAATGTGTGTTTCTTCCTTATTACATATGCTTGTTACTAAATAATACAGAGGACAACTCATTTACCCAGTCATATCTTACAAACATCATCATCTTCAAATTCACCACCGTACACAGTTCCAAAGAACTGTGCATTCAAGTAACAGCTCCACAAAATAGAAATGATCTGTTTGGCTTAAGTGATTTTAGTTTTTGTTAAAGTGACTGTTTTGATTACTTTGGAAAGTTCTTTTTTCTATTCCATAGAACCAACACAGCATGAAGAATATGGTCTGATTTTCTCTCCTATTCTTTAATCACTATCTCACCAGTAGAGATCAGAGGCTTCATTACACTTCCTCTGAAGCTCCCCAGCTCTTGCGTTGAAGATGTGTTCGTTAAATTGTCACTTTTATTTGAAGACAATAATGCCATTTTCTCAACTAACCTAAATTTGACTTCTACAAATATGCTTTAGCATCTTACTCTAAATGCTTTTAAAAACTCTCTTCTCTCTACAGGACTTGGCACCTGTGCTGTTCTGCTGTGCTCATGCTTATGTTGCTCTTCCTTTGTAAATCTGTTTTACCTCTTATCTTTCATTGTCAGTATGGTGTCGAAGGAATCATCCTTTGGTTCTCTGTCTGAAAGCACCTGGTCCACAGGTACGCCGTTTAGTTGTTTCTATTTGAATACAAAATGTACATAGTAGCTACCTCCTCCAGCAAATGCACAGGAAGAACAAAACCAATTAATTTCAGTTTTTATGGCTTTTCAGCTTAA